GCTATTCTCTAGTCATGCCAAAATGGGAAAGGCGAACTGGGAGGCTTCCTGCTCTTCGCTCCTGGGGGTCAGTGCAGGGAGCAAGGGGGTGTCTGTTCCGTTTGCATGTGACTGCTGCAGGGCTGGTGTGAGCAATGACGACTCCCAGAAAAAGTTGCTCGCTCCGTGTTTGTCTTTGACCTGCGGTGGTTACAGGTTGGGTTCTGTCGGGTGAGGGTAAGTCTATGTACAGCTGGTTCCCTGGGACTTCTGCTGTCACTAGGACCTATTGGTTAGCAGCTTTTGGAGCAGACCAGGCAGCTTTTGAGTTTGAGCAGAAAACAACTTAACTTTCAGTTGCTGTACAGTTTGCTCTGAGAGATTGTGCTTTACTAAGTAGATGTGATACGGTTCGCGATTGGCATCGAACTGTGCTTTGATTAACGATGAAAGACAAATAATGCTAAATGCTTTATCAGATTGCACAGTATCTTGTAGGCTTTGTTGGTGTGCTGCACAGTGTATATTTGATAAGGCAGGAATTTGTTTATATCTGCATTTTTTCCACATCAATCTCTGTTATCTTTCTTTTGTCTTCTCTTGGGCTTTGAGATCAGTTGCTCATCACCAGTCTTCTTTAAACATCCTTATTAATGACAGCATTATTTATATTTACATTTAGGCTGCAGTTCTGGCTCTTCTGTCTTGTTTTGTCTTTTCGTGTTGTTTCCCCTTCTGAGCTTGGAAGAGCTTTCCAGTCAGCCTCAGCCAAACTTAATTTCTTTTCCTCTCTCGCTTAAGGCTGACCCTCCTGTTCAGTGAATTGGTAGCTTCTATTTGTGCATTTCAGATGAGAAAAATCAGGAGGGAAATGTTGTAATCAAACCTAGTGCTGTGTGTAGTACACACCAGAGTACTTCACAGTAATATCTAAAATAGAAATTTTATTCCAAGGAGGAGTCAAAGTTTGTGGTTGTTTTTTTTTTTTAAAAAGACATTGTAGTGGATTTTTTTTCCTCTTGAATATCTTGTAACTGTTCTCTAATATGGAGTTGGGTGCCTTATTTACAGTATGAACCTCATCTTCTGGCCACTAGATTATGGGAGACTTTTGTCTGACACAATGAGATCGAACAGTTTTTGTGGGGAGCACAAATCCGTACGGAAACTGTATTTAAGCAGAGATCCAGCTATGTTTGGATGTACTCTTGCTCCCCCAGTTACTCTTAAACTGGTTTGGAAGCTGGCTCAGAAACTGCCAGGACCTGGAATCGTGCTAGTGTTTTGAAACAGTATGGTTGGTTTGTAAAGCATGTGCCCCTGTGTAGATCTGATCTTGGTTCCAGTTCAGCTGAATTTGTTTCCAGTTAATTTCTAGCAGTTCCTGTGTGGCTGGGTTGGGAGCAGGCTGCTTTGTGCAAAACAGTCCTTTTCCCCCGTAGACTAAGGGCAGGGCTCTGATCTACCAATCTGTCGTTTCAGTTGGTGCAAGTGAGAAAATTTGTCTCATGTCCCAAGGCAGTGGAGGTCATACCGTAGTGAGCGTGTCACGCTTAACTGAGATCCTTGGGAACAACTTCGTGTTGAATTGGTCGGGCTGATGCCGAAATCCAATCTCTATCTTCTAGGAGGAAGCATTTTCCTCAATAGTGAAATTCCCATGAGTTCTGCTTTCAGAGTAGGTCCATGCTTAGCTATGGGTTTGTGCTTGGGGATCTGGGTATTTAGTTGCTCCATGTCAGGCTTCCTGAG